CGGGTAAGAGTCGGACATGTCACACCCAAGCGTTGTTGAATCAGAGAATTCGATAACGAGCCAATTAGTAGAACTGGATACAGGGATCACCCAATATAGGTGTAATGAGGCCTGTGGGCCAGACCGTACGTAGACAAAGGCGTTACTCAAATCCCACAACTGACACACTACTACTCCTTGACATGACTCCACTATCACACACTGATGATATCACCCCGCCTTGTGTTCAAACGTCTGTAAGCAAACTACCCAGCGCAGTGAACAGAACTTTCATTCGACGGCAGTCGTAAACCTCATAGGCGTTTAACATGGAAAGGTCGGTGTGTGACCCATATTGTGGTGGGTTTAAGTACTATGTACACTCGATACCATTTAGAGTTATCAGGTATGGTTGGTCTGGGCCTGTGGTCAACAATTTATTTTATGACCTCGGTTAGGAGCGTAGCAGAACAGTCATGTCCCTGTATTTGCGTGTTCACGGTAGACCTATTTAATCCAGACACCACCGGCAGACTGCATGCGTTAGCTAAGTGGTGTTTAGGTACATTAATTCTTTTGGCTAGGCGTGCCTGCCTGTATATTTTTTCGCCCTTTAGCTCTTACGGACATCACCAATCCTGTTCAAATAGCCTATTCAGGACGATTAATACTCTCTGAAGAGAAGATGGAGACTATTTGACCATGACAACCAAAGGACCTAATCATCACACCGCTCGTCTGTTGAAGTTAACTGAAATTTGGGAATATGTCCTGGAGACAAAATGCTGCGTTATTCTTTGACTACCGAGTTATGTACAATGGTCGCGTATTGTTAGAGCCGATTCCCAGTTGTTATCTGACGGGTGGAATTTTTTGCAGAGGCCTGTTCTGCACCCATTATAGTAAGTCTAGTCTTGCTGTGTTTTGTCCTTAAAACAAGGCTAACCGAATGATCGTAATTCACCGACTTTCATTTTTTGTTTACAAAATTCGCTTCACAAATATTTACACTTTTGAATACCATTTATCACCTGTCCTTTTACCGTCTTCACAATGTACATTCAGACCTCAGTGACTGATGAGGTTAAGTCTAAGGTACTATTGGCTTCCTTAATGCTACCTGATGCACCAATAGAACCTCGCAGCACTCAGTTCACTACAAAGAAACACTATCCCTTTTGTTACGGTTTCTTATTAGTAACCCGAGAGCATCTCTACAACAGACCGACTTCTACAGAAAGAAGATATACTAAAAACCCTCTAGGGGACTCAAGGACGTCACAAAATGACATAAATAGTCAACAAACCACAAAGAAATATTCCTCTGTTCGCCTCCCCCAAAATATAGAAAAGAGTGAATCGGCGATGTCAAACTGATTCAGCAGTGTATGCTCGTGATATCGCGACCGATCTATGTTGACTATCAGCATAACTGCATCTGCAATGATACCCATCTGCGTCAGCAGAACCGACTGACTCCTCTCACAAGATATAGTAAAACCCCTACACAATAAATTGTTGAAAAGCTCACCCAGCGTCATTCATCGTAAGCCATGTCGTCTGCATTATCCCATTAGATCGCTCGCACTCGAAATTTAGCCATTTTGATGACAGTTAAACCAGTTTCCCGTACTTATTGGCAGGAAAAGCACATCCGCACTGGCATAGATTTTGCATGGATGCATACTTTACCTTCGATGGACAAATATATCAACAGCTGAAAGGAACTCCAATAGGATCCCCAATATCAGGATTTATTGGTGAGGCGGTAATGCAAAGGTTAGAGCATGCGGTACTGCCGATTATCAATCCAAAGCTGTGGATCTGCTACGTGGACGATACCTTTGTCATCATGAAACGGGATTCAGTACACGAGGTACATGAACTGCTCAACACCAATTTTGACGATATCAAGTTTACAATCGAACTGGAAAGAAACAGTCGACTACCATTCTTAGACGTTCTAGTGAACAGAAAGATGGATGGGACTCTGGAAACCTGCGTATACCGGAAGGAGACTCATACAGATCAAATACTGAACTACAACAGCAATTATCCAGTAAAGCACTAGAAGAGCTGCGTCTAAACCTTGTTCAAGGGGGCGGAGACACACTGCAGCACCACAGAACTGCGGAAGAAGGAAGAAAATAATCTATTCGGAGTATTCCAGAACAATGGATATCCAAGGAATTTTATCAAGAGAAACTCGAAAAAGAAGACATCTCAACAACAGCAACAGCAAGAACAAGCCACCAGACAGGTAGTCCTGCCTTACATCAAGAATATACCAGAACTCGCGACCAGATTATGGGCTCAAAAAGAAATCTTCGTGGCCCACAAACCGAATGCCACCCTGAGGAAATTGATCTCTAGACCGAAGGACAACCCGGACAAAATACCAACGCAACTGCAACAACTGCAACAAATTATACGTCGGACACGAATAAACAAACACAACGCGGCTGTCAGGAGGCATGACCCCCTGTCCTTGATATCCATCCACGAGTACCAAGAAGGCCACAAAGTTAATTTGGAAAACGCAATACATTAGGCATATAGAGGCACGAGAAACGGAAGAGAATTTTCGGAAGCATGGTACTCCACGGCTAATTCGATCAACCGGTGCATCGAACTGGACCCCAATTACGCACCCCTATGTGCAAAAGACCAACATCTCAACCGAAAAACTCAAGGAGGACCGAATATTGGATTCACAAACAAAGAAACAAGGAACTCCTAGGAGGCAAATCAATAAAGGTCACCAGCCGGGACTCGAAAGGACAAAGGTCACTCCAGCATCGACCAGATTACGACGGCAGGGGATGCCAAGCTCAAAGGTCACGTGGGCATCGGTGAATGGGGACACAGGAAAACGGATCAACCAATGGAATCGCCCGAACGAACAACTAATCGTGATCAAAGGTCATTCCCTGCTAGCAGCACTTACATTAGCACTCGCGCAACAGTACCCAACGCACAACCACCAACCCACCGCTACGCACTACTACCAATACTACTACCCAATAACGCACTGATGATGTCACCTCGATTGGTGATGAAACGTTTGCAATCAAATTGCCCAGCTCAGCGAACAAGCCAACGACCCCCATAGATTTCCCCCTATAATTGTCTGGGACACATGGCTGTTCGTTTTTAGTTATGTTGTCACTCCCTCTTTCCATAAATGTTTTTTGTGCGTGACTGATGAAAGCAAATGAAAAACGGATATTTCGGAGCTTACGTTTCTTATCATAAAGACAGGACGAAATGAAGAGCAGTTTGTGTCGAACCAACGCTTGAATGGCACTCGATGGAAATTAGAATCACGGTATTGGGTTTTTTCCTCACTCTTGCTCGTGAATATTGATCGCAGGATTTTACTCAAACAAACATCTTCGATAAGCCATCCAACTGATTATTTTCTGCTGCTGTTTCGCAACAACCCTTTAAAGTGCCATCAACTTGCTCATAAATTGATGTGCATCCGCGCTCGATTAACAAGAGTTTTCCAAATATAAATGAAAAACCAGCTGGTAATTCCGAGCACTAAACTCGTACAGACGTTGACAGGATGAAATGTTCCAGGATGGGGACGCATGGTGGACAAAGAGAAAGTTGCTCGCAGTATGGAAAACCCATGGGGTAATGTAGAACAGATAATCCAACATCATAAGGCCCAGAATCATTAGGACAGATACATGCCCATAACAAAAGTACTTTGCGTTACTGTTACCTTTTTTGAGGAAAAAGCAGATGAAAAGGTGTACAGCATACACTGAATTGCGTCGGCAAAGGGAAATCCAAGTTTTAGCATGCCCATAAGTATGTGCATGACCACATAAACTTAACCGTCTTTTCTAGGACGAGTTAATTAAGTAGAGAACATACAACCAATCCACTATACAGCTACGAGGAAATTGACGCGCTAGTTCCATCATGACTTCATACTGATTCTAGCGATGTGTTCTGTAAAAAAATCACGAAAGCCTAAAGCTGTTGGAAGTTACAGAATGCAGGGATAAACAAAGACTTTAAACCGTATCTTACTTTAGAAGACGCTTTAGAAATGGTAGCTGAGACAGTTTTGGAATAACGATTTTGAGAACCGCATCGTCATGACAATGTGGACTGGTAGAACGGACGTTTTTTCTGATGATGATAGTGAATTGAATAAATCCAGCGACCACATCCTTTCTAGGTTATCACTTCCTGAAATTTTTCATAGGATGCCTCACGAGAAGTTTGAAGACGATTCAAACGTCCCAATGGATAATTGATTTCTGGTATCAAAGCAAAACCAGCTGAAAATTCCTCGTGACAGTCAACCGTCTTTACTTTTCTACAGAGTTACCCAAAAATTCCTGCTGTTAGATCCAAAAATGTGTGTCGAGTACGTTTTTTAAAGATTCCCGGACATCTAGACATGCAGAAGTTATGGTCTAAGTGAATGCACAAATCAGTCCCTGGGTTTCCGTCAACCATATGTTCTACCTGAAATCAAATTGCACGAAATTAGCGAAGTATACCCAGTTGGAAAGAAACTTGGTTTTGCGAGAGACTTATCTGAAACTCAGCTGAATCTCTCGTTTGTGATGTATCCAGGCAACCAAATGTGCTGCACTAAGCTGCAGGCACCCAAGGGCTACACCTACCTGATGAGCTCCAAGAAGGGCGAAACTGGTCGTGGGCTGTCGGAGAATTTTCGGCAACCTCATGAATAGTGCATTAACCACATACTTGTATCGCGATACCTCGAATATCTTAGCAACTGAAACATGAGGCGGACTGGCGTACCATATTCAGTTGCCTGAAAACATCACAAATGAGAGATTCAGCTGGGTTCCAGATGAGTCTCTCGCAAAACCAAATTTGTTTGCAAATGAGTGTATTTCGCTAAAAGCACAAATGCTCCTGTAAGTTGACTCATAGAATCCACGGTTGAAATACTATAGAAGTAAAGTGGGCCTACAGGCCACTAACGAGAGCTGAGCTGAATACGGAGAATAAAGGGAACTACGTACCTTTAGTTTCTCATGACATGCGGCATACTGCTCAAGGTTTCGTTGCAGCAAACACAATTCCGTTTTCATCCTATTCACATCCATACACTCTTCGGCTTGAACTGTAGAGCAACGACGCGAGGCCCTCACAGAACTTGCCAGAGGATTCGTTTCCTGAAATATCCAATGTTCTTATCAGCTTGTAAGAATATCAGAAAAACGGATTGTTTGGAAGAAGTGGCTATGTGGCTCAACAAACCTACAGTTTGACCACTGGTGACATATCAAATAGTAAAATTTTAACTAAGAATTAAATAAAGGTGTAATAATACCGCTAGGTTTGACATGAGCACGTGTGACAAATGGGTGTTCCAAGATCCGTAGTTCTAGCGTTCAGTTAGAGACCAAATAAGAAAAACAAAATGCTTCATATCGGTCGACTGCATAGTGCCATTAGAAGGCGGTGCGGTACAAGAATTCCAGAGGAAAGCAACCGTTCGCAAACTATAAGCCTGAGGTGTTTTTATAGACGAAGCTCTTTCCAGGGTATGAACCGGAGCAGACCCAATGAGATTTCAAGTCAACTGAAGTACATTAGTGGACTGCCTCGCAATAGTAAGTCACTGAAAGAATCACGAGAGCATTTGACGGCATCCAAATCATCACAGCTAAAGGAAAAAAGCTGATGTTATCTTCCGTTCGTCGGGGAGGATCCATACATCCCTTTGGATACATGGAAGAATGCGCACCAGAAAGCTCCCTGTATCAAGATAAACTTTCGTAGGTGCGTCTCATGGAAATAGAATCATGAAACTGCAGACGCCAATTACTGGAGACGACTTAATAACTACACAGGTTGACACGGATGCTCGATAATTTAAACGCACCAGAAGGAAAGACGACAAATAAATGACAAACTTTTGTAGCGGCCCCTGATCCGCGTTTATTGCCATTACTTTGTGAAGCGTACACCAGGAAGCCGATACAACTGTTTTCAAAGTAGTTCAGATGATCAAATGTGACCTGCGTAATTGATATAACACGGCTATGGTCAATCAGATTGCGGATGGTTGCACCACTTCTGAAATAATCAATCGGGAAGTTCACCACGGTCCAATCCGTCTCCTTGAACACACGATAACGGATTCTGACTTGCACTCCATCATATTCGTCACTGAGATCCAAGTCGCTTAACAGGATCTGCAATAGAAGCAAACACACAAAATTGTCGAAACACAGTTGTTTAAACAAGCACATCTACAGCGGTCAATAACAGCAATCACTCGTTTTTCTTCCCTCGAAGTTTACGATCCTTAAAATTAAAAAGATGCTAAAACTAATAGAAGATATAACGAACGGAATTTGAAGGAAATCCATTGAAAGCACATCAGTAATGATGGTTCGATTTTCGCCCAAGAGTAGGTTGTTCTCAGCAAGGAAGTTCAACTTCAATCAGTCTGCACCGCGAGAAGTCACCACAAAAACAGGATAGCACTTCTATCTGCTTGGAGGTAGTATCCTATCAGATGTGTAGTGGTCTGGACAGATTAGTCGGATCACATGCGAAACTCATACTCGAAGGTGAACCGATGGAAGGGAGAGACGGCCAAACATCGGAGACGATGGCGTAATCAATTAGCTCTGGGAAACAAAGCATTCAAGACGCTATCTCTGACGTACCAGCTTTATTGACTACCAGGTTTGTCATTGTCATTAGCTATTTATGAGTTAAGTCTCGGAGTCTTCAGTGCGAAAGGCGGCACTTGTCAACACGACTGACTTTGCTGGTCAGTGATTCATCATTCATCGCACGGTCATGCAGCGCCTACCATGTACATGGCACTCTGTTGCTCTATGTGCATACGTGCCCACGGAAGTTCGAACATGATGACCTAGCAATATATCAAACGTTAGAATGCCCCAAGTGCAGCTAAAGTTTCTGATGACCGATGGAGTCAGTCTTGTAAATTGCTTTAATCCTTGAGGGCGAATGAAACTCCGACGGGACGGCCACTAGGATCCATTGCGTCATGAACATCAGTTACTTGAGCTCGTCCTAAGCAACTTGAGGCCGATGACTGAAACGGGGATTTGCACGCGCCTTTCGAAGGAAACGTGCATTAACAAAGGGGAGAAACAAGGTATCAGGAAGGTCAGATTCCTGAAAGCAACCACTGAATGCCCGACATCTACTGAGACTCTCAGCTCCGCTAGATGCTGGCCAGACAGGCAACGCTCCCTCAGTATGCAGCGCTTCACAGCCTTGTATCAAACCCAGACAGCGCGAGTCAGCGTTGATTAAGGTCAGGCAACGCCCCCGCAATATGTAGCACGTCACAGCCTTGTACCAAAGTCAGACCATGTACGTCAGCATTGGACCAAGTTCAGTGTCCCTGCAATAAATAGCTTGAGGCCGTTGTACTTTCGCACTCCCACGCACTCACGCTCTCGCACTTACTTGTTCAGAATATAGCTGTCGTGTTGCCTTCTGTGAGTCTTTTTTCCAGCACTGGGCACTGGAGCGGATCAGAAGACAGATACAACAGATTGGCGGATCAGCAGATATAACAGACTGGCGACGCCCGAACCCACGGAATCAAGACAATAACTGCTGAAACGTTAAAAGAAATTCTGCTGCAACAGCGAAATCAATCTGAAGCGGCGCTATTACGTTAGCTGGAAACGTTGACGCAGTAAATTAAAGTTCAACCATCAAATTCCGCTCCAGATACAAACTCAGTCGACTCGATTGCCAACACCATCACGGAGTTCCATTAAAACCCTGATGCCGGCCTAACCTTCGATTCGTGGTTCGGACGTTAATAAGATGTTTTCAGAGTCGAACTGACGCACCAAAGGATTCTTGGAGAGTAAGCTTATTGCTGAGAAAGCTTGGCACAACGTGACACACACGGTATTCCAACTTTATCCTGCCTAAGAACAAGTGAGATATCAGTTTCGACAAAACCGTGCGGCAACTCTCAGTAATTTTCGGCGAGCGTTTGTACTCGCTACCAATGTATGAAAAGGGAAAATAAGGAATCCGAAGACTACATCACTTATGCCGGTAGAGTCAACCGTGAAAGAGAATAATTCAAGCTTTCTATCGTGACGGAAGACCAGTTCAAGTGTCTTATTTCCATATGTGGTCTTCACTCACATTCAGACAGTAATAGCCGAACGAGACTATTATACAAGATTGAACAAATTTCCGAGATAACGCTGTAGTCTATTACCCATGAGTAACAACACCTTTTAAATCTTAAAAACGACACGGCCATGTTGGAGAGACCCTTATCCAACCCTACTTTCAACATTGCCAAGACCTCCAGGCGACCTCCCGTGGTAACAAGTCAGTCTTGTAAATTGCTTTAATCCTTGCTTTTATCCAACCCTACATTCAACATTGCCAAGACGACATCCAGGCGACCTCCCGTGGTAACCAATTCGAACAGCATGCTGGCAATGCGGCATTTTGTGCGATTGTGCCCGTATAGAAAACACAAATGTTCATTCTGTAATCGAAGTGGGCACAAGAAAAGCCAGTGCCGAACGCGGAAAGCTATCCAAAGACGTAGCCAAATCCGGAGGTCACGAAGTAAACGGAGCCATTCGGAACCCCGTTTTAACGCAGTATTTTCCGCATTTGAAAACCAGATCGATGCTCATCGCAAGTGCGTTACAGTCAGAGCAAACGGAAGCAAGATTTGATTGCAGCTCGACACAGCTTCCGGTATACGAATGTTTTCAGATGCACCTGGAGAAAAATCAGATCACCTAAACTCAGACCAACGATGAACACTGCCAGAAATGCTTCAGCTGGTAAGCTTCAACAATTTTAAACAGAGGGCGACTGATGGGTCCTGCACCCCACGGCGTTTGCTATTATCCTCGAAAGTAGAATATGCTTGGAACAAACGAAGCCCGATACGCACTGCAGGTACGAAAACAAAGAAGTAACGGAAGAAAGATAATTACTTTGAATGATCCTGTCAGTTAGCGGCTTTTAAGCGAAATGAATTTATACTTAGGTACGTTAGCAAATGAGTAAGTCAGTAAACAACAGGAAGTATTTCTCCCTATGGCTATATTCCATTGAGTTTTCTAAGGGGACAGTGAATTTGTATGGGGACCGAAACCGAAAACGAAAACACAGCTGCCTCACCTTGTAATGAAAAGGCTTTCCCAAAAGTTCATTAGGATCGCTGACGATGTCACAATGTATCCGTTCAGCAGGGCTCAATTCCGTCAGTGGTTTCCCGGCTCTGGTGCACGGAATTAGTTGGTAGTACAAAGTGCCCACAACTTCACCCTCGAAACTCATGACACTCAATTTATCATCTACATCAAGGCGATAACCAAGCGCTTGAAGGTAAACTGGCGCCACACCCAGGAGCTTGTCGTCGAGGCTGTCAACAAACGGATCATCTTCTTCCGAGGTCTTCTTTTTGACGTCATGTAAATAGTTTTGATACATCTCCTACATGAAATAAAAAACAAATTTCAGGTACTTATAGCAAAAATGCATCTTCCAAAAGTATTGCTAGGGTCGTATACAAGTGTACATTCCGCGACGTATTCATGAGGTCAGCCCATTTTTTCGGACATACCCAGGGAGCATCCGTCCATAAAATTTGAATTTCTTTCCATAAAACCAAAAGGAAGAGAATCTGTTCTTGTAAAATGTATCGTTTGTGATGCTACTAGCAAAGATTCACGAAGGAATTTTGGCCTTTACTGATGCGAAGCAAAAAGACATGAAATGACATTTCCAAATTATTTCGGTAAGGTTCATGTTCACCGTCAGCATTTTTCTTCATAACTTTCATGAATGCCGTTTTTTTAATAAGTAGACTCCATTATTCACTCACATCTTGTTACAGTGGTGAAACGATCTCAATGTAAAGACAACCAGAAAATAACTTGTTAGTTTTATGACCTAGGAATATTAATAGGGAACTTGGCGCACAAATGAAGTACAGGAGAACTACAATTATGGAACTAAAAATTTCTTTTGGACAGGTTGACCATTTCAATCACAACAGACCACTGCAAATAAGCTATAGCAAGCCTTATGTTGCGCAATACTTGCTTCACTTGTCATTCTATAGCCTCACCGGAATAGCTGTTTTCATATACATGTTCATCCGAACTTCAAATGCCCATTCAGGTTATATTGCAAAGAAGTTTTTGAACCTACGATTTCGCTTTGAACACAGTATTTAACCCCAAAGTGCCATGGGTGAAGATAACTGGAAGGGGAGGCTGAAGTCGAAACTCGCGTGTGGACTTGCCAGAAGATGAGGCGTTTGTTAATTCACATGCGAGTGCAGATTGTGTGAACAGAAATGTTAATGGTGTATGTACCATTGTTACTAATCTTTATCATCCCAATGACATTAGTGCTAACAGGGTACAGATATGGGCTCAACTGAGGAAAGCACCGTATTGCTGCTTAGAATTTAGATTTAGAGTTTTTCTCCCTTTCAACAGAACATTGTATCACCGCCAGAGTTTTAAAAGCATTCGGATCGGCAGTGAGTTTGTGTTATAGTAACAAAAGACAATCCCAACGTCAGCCATGTACGCATAGTGATACACTGCTCTTTAAGTCCAGGCACAGGCAACATGCACGTGACAACCCGCTGAGGTTAATATGCCTTCTGTTTTTTTTATGTAGACGGTCTGATTCAGTTCATGACAGACAAATGTTAGGTTTCTCTCCTTCATCTTTCCCCTTCGTTTGGTAACAGATAATGTAAAGAAATCCCGCGATGCGAAAGCGCTTGACTTTTACTGATGGTGATAGATTTGCTGTGCAGGTGAGGTGTTCACTTAACCAAGATGAAAACACAGCCATTCGTATGATTCACTGAAGTGGAGTAAACAAAAATTATGAAAGGTTTTCGTTTGCCTTACTGCGAAACTAGGCTGTGTTCGTCCCACTAAGATGTGTTTTCTTTGTCAGTGCTACTATTTGCCAGTAAAATAGGCAGGGTAGAATCGTTCTCTCCTAATTGCCTGGCGGCATAAGTTCAGAACCTTCTCGAAAGTTGGCAACAACGGTGGGGAGCACTGCAGTGGCTGCGTATACCTGTATTCATAACCTTGGATGAAAAATGCCTACTCACCTGCATTACAAACCGACGCCCCATAAACTTCTCCCGATCCCATAACCACACATGACTGGTAGTTGAGTCACGCATCCGAATCATCAATCTGCAAATAACAAATGAACGCTTGTGGAAACCTCTGGCTTTATTAAGTAAATAGAGGCACAGAATTCCAATTGACCCAAATAGTATCAACAGCGCAAAATACTGGTGTGATTAGATCCAGATGAACGGTTTCAAATTCGTCTGAGGAATGTTCAACAGCTTGGGGTCTGCTAACTTGAGTAGGGAAAGACTCTGGCGTCTA